TCAACAGCCATTGCTATTAACCTAGCCGCATAAGCAGCACAGAATCTGATTAATTAGTTGCYTAGCTCAAAACACTTAAATTATCAAGTAGACAATAGTTTTTTACAACAAAAACAAGCGCAAAACCCATAAAATGCTTCTAGTGTATTTACTAAATGAAAAATGAGCGAGATGACAGACTAAACTGTGGAATGCTAATTAATGATTGCAATCCCTTTAAGAAAATTATAGAACAATTAATAATATACCAGATTATTAAATTTCCTTGAACACACCTTCACATCATAGGCCTTAAGGGGTTACATGTGTYTCCTCGGGTAAAAACAGCACCTTTTCCATAATAACTAAAATTGATAAATTTCACAAATCAAAATGATGTAGGCCAAGTTGTGAGAATCTTTGGAGATCTTTTTCTGCAGTGACTTCAATGTCATTATGCGCGTGCGGCAACGCCTGGTCAATCAATCTATTTTGAAATAAGTTAGTCCACTGCCACGTCGAGAGCGCTCAGAGCTCGCATTCATCACAGAAAGTATGCAGAATATGCGAATAAAACTATGAATTATGGGGACTACATCGCAGTTCTTCAACGTTTCCAAATCGGTCTTTTGCCTCTTGCTTCTGACGCCAATGACACTGCACTGCACTGCACAGTGATGAAGTTCACCTTTGAGCTTCAAACCACGCACTATGTTTTTGAATCTATCTATCAAGCAGTCAATAAGATTTTCCATTTCTTTGGTTTTTAAAGCGCATACTTTTCCTGGAAGCAGCAAACGAAAGTCGAAATCCATCCAATACTTCTCTAGAAAAGCGCGTCTTCAAATCTTATTTCGGAAATTCTCCCGCAAAAATGTTCGCGTTTTGTTTTTCGGCCGCAGATTCTTGGTTTTTCTTCGGCAACTTTCAGTTCTGTCGCTATTTTTTTAGTGTCTGAATAAATGTAAAAAAATATTCTCCAGGATTTTGTCTTCCATTTCCGAACGTTACAAGCAGCGTATCTATCATTTTTGATGCCTTTGTCACATCGATAGTTTCTTTCTGAAGAATCACGCTATCATTGCCTTTCCTGCTGTTTCCTTATTCCTTCCGGAGGAAGAATTGCCATACATCAGTCACCAACTATGATACGAAACCATCAAATCTTACCAAAATTTTGCTCTTCTTAGTAAAAACCCCAGCCTTAGTAATTATTGGATTTATTTTAACTCTACTTGTATGTAAGCTGCTTCTGAGTTACTTCAAACATGACAACGGCTAATCCAATTTTCCATACATTCGTTATAAACGTCAGCTGTGAATATTTTCAGTGTGTTCTGCGAACTTAAACGAAAAAACTATTTTACATATTGACTTAAGAACAGATTTTGAAAATTTGAATATTATCCAGCCATCTCATCTTTAGCTTTACATGCAACTATAGGAACTTATGTTCTCACATTTAAGGGTATGAAGCGATATTTACACTTTTCTGACAAAGCCGATTAAAAGAGAAATCATGAGAACGTCATGACATAAATACTTGTAGACGATAATATAGATTTATATTAAAACAAGTGAAAAGGGTTTTTGGTTTATTATCGGAGTTTTGTCTTTTCGAGAAAAATTTGATCAGATTTTTCAATAAAATTCTTCACTAAGATCAATATGATCTGCACCAAAATTGTTCGAAATGTTAGGTCGTTCACTAAGTAATTTTGTTTGATTTGAACAGCTGATGTGAAAAAAGTTCTTAATTTTTTTTAAAATAATTTGTATGTGGTGCCATATCGTAGATGGAAGCTCGGAAACAGCAAGAAAGGCGAAATTTTTGTGATGTGTACGGAGAAGATGTGTTTTTGGCCGGCAAATTGCGATCTTGAGAAGGCGCCACGTCCTGGAAGCCAATGCCGAATAACCATTCGAGAAAATACTGAAATAATAAATTTGTCTTCCCTAGCACTTGAAACGATTAGGATTAAATTTGAAGTTACCATACTCACCATATTCTTCAGACTTTACTTTTTTGAACTATTACTTGCTCCGTTTCCTGTAACATTTCTTTGTTTGGGAGAACCTTCACCTCAAATGCGGACGTCAAAAACTATCATCCGATTTTTGTCTACTAGTATTAAATGATTTGATATTTCTTGTTGAGCTGTAAATATTTATAACCTGAGCAGGGTATATTAAGTTTGTCACGAAGTTTGTAACACCCCGAAGGAAGCGTCGGAGACCTTATAAATGTATATACATATATAAATGATCAGTATGTTGAGCTGAGTCGAACTAGTCCCTCAGTTTTTAAGATATCGTTTTGAAATTTTGCAAAGGTCGCGTCATTTTCTCTTCAAGAAGCTGCTCATTTGTCGGAGCTGCCGATATCGGACCACTATAACATATACCTGCCATACAAACTGAACAATCGGAATTAAGATCTTGTATGGAAAACTTTCACATTTGACAAGATATATTCACGAAAATTGGTATAGATTATTTTTTAAGGCAACAATGTAATCTCCGAAGAAATTGTTCAGATCGGATTACTATAGCATATAGCTGTCATACAAACTGAAGTTACTAACAGAAATGCACCTGTGAAGGGTATTTAGCTTCGGTGCAACCGAAGTTAACATTTTTTCTTGTCTTATTTTGATATTATTCTCTGCGGAACTCACTATTGTAAGCTGTCCATTCTCACCTTCATGACTATCGAGATATTCTACCTTTGATGTACATACATATACACACAAGCCCATATATAATATCTGCATATGCACGGCAAACTAGCAATATCTTCACTAGCAAGACTAGAGATGGGTCAGCATACGCAAGAAAATGACTGATGAGTTGAACTGCAGAGCTGACTGGCAGCTGCTTAGTCAATAACAAGTTGACTAAGTGTGAAATTTCGGTGCAGTTGCACTCAAATTATACCACTTGCGGTTGTTGTTGTTATATTATCGCACTGCTAGAGGCAATGTAATTTATAATACCTCATGTATATATGTAAAATTGTGGAAATTGTTGTGCATGTGTATAAGCGGCTCGTTTGAAATTGAAGTTGAGGCACACTGCTTTCCTAAAAGCTTAACTATTTGAACAAATTTATATTATACATATTTATGCATGTAATTCATAAATRCATTACAACATTGTCTACTAAGTTATCAGGAATATGCAATTAATTAGAATAAATTTTCTATAAATCAGTAATTACGCAATGAGTCTAACTGCATTGGGAGTGTTCAAATAGAATTACGTTTTACTTCCACATGCGAGATATTGCTATGTGTGACCTATGCCCATAAGTGTGCCTGGAATTGTATGCAAGTAAATATGCATACATACACATACTATATATTCAGTTGTATCTTTATCATTTGCTCGCATATTTGTATGCAGTTATGTGATTTGCTTAAGTAAATGCTTGTATATTTAGCAAGCTATTATGTTCATTAAGGTCGGCTCTGAACATAAATTGCTGCGCTTACTTCAMGTAAACGAAATTATGATTACATTTAATTACATCATAATTCATGCACCCAAAGTATTATTAAATATCGCAGCTAATGTTAGCATTYATTCATTAACTTTGTTATACGCTTGCAACATGTTGTTGCAGAGTATAATAGTTTTGTTCACCTWACGGCTGTTTGTGTCATCAAAACTAATCGATGCAAAAATTGAGTTATATAACTATATGTAAATGGTCCGGATGACGAGACAAGTTGAMATCCGTCTGACKGTCTGTCCGRTCTCCGAYTTATTTTTGCGAGAGTGATTGACTTCATAAAATGTTAACAAAGGGTTCATTGATCTCGGCAAAATGTAGATAATAAATACATTGACCTGATATATCAACAAAGGAGAAATTGACCCCATAAATTGTAAACATAAGGCTCACTGGTCTCAAACTTAAACAAAGGTTGTGGACTTGGCTAAATATGTACAAAAATATAATAGAGTTCATGAAATGTAAAAAAAAAGTTTCACTAACTTCAATTGTAAACAAATGGTATTGACTTGGCTAAATATAAAAAAAGGGTCATTGGCCTCATAAATCGTAAACAAAGTTGTTTCTGACCTCATAAACTGTAAATAAAGGTTGTTGTCTTGGTTAAATGTAAAAAAAAGGATAATTGACCTCATAAAATATAAACAAAGTCGTCAATGACCTCATAAAATGTAAACAAAATGGTTACCGACCCCAAATGTAAACAAAGGTTGTGAACTTGGCTAAATACGTACAAAAATATAATTGAGTTCATGAAATGTAAAAAAAAAGTTTCACTGACTTCAATTGTAAACAAAGGTTGCTCACTTGGCTAAATGTAAATGTAAAAGTTGTGGTGCTAAATATAAACGAAACGGTCATTGACCTTATAAAATGTAAACAAAAAGGGTATTGATCTTGGCAAAATGGGYCAAACCGTTTAATGGGTTACTGACTACATAAACCAGTAATTGACCCCGTACTTATTATACGGAATCATTGGTGTTGAACCACTATAAGATACATATTTCTGCATTGCAAAGTGATCGGCCAAAATCAAGTATTCGTATGRACTTATAATTTTACAAGATATTCTCCCAAGTTTTGGCATGGATTATTGCCCCTTACACTACAATATGCAGACATACAGTTTAGATCGGACCACTATAGCATATAGCTGTCATACAAACTGATCAATCAATATTAAAATATATAATTTTGTATACAACTTTATGCTGTTAGAACTGACCCTGTATTAGWACTTCGCTGCAGCTGAAATTAACGCTTTTTCTATTTTAATATAAAGTTTTTCTACGGCTGAACCCATTTCGCTGCAAGTTGTAAAAGTATAAAATGTTCGGCTGCACCCGAACTTAGCCCTTCCTTGCTTGCTTTAATTTGCTATTATAATTCATTGTTTTAACARTTGTTGAAAGTAGCTCTGAGTAATGACATTCACTTAATTACTTGACTATTATTGTGGGTTTAGTAAATACTAACTAAATCAATATTTTCACACTGCCGATTACATGTTTTAGCATAAAAAATGTTTTTATATATTTGTTGTTAAATTTGTTTAAACTTCACGGTCGTTAGGTTCAAACTTTTTTGCTTGTTATTCTAATGTAAATGTGCATACCTAATTTGACTCAAAGGAACACAGAGCGTATGAGTAATCTCCAAAGGAACTAAAATATTAACAATATACTGAAAAAAAATTTAAAACTCCTCAGGTTAACAGTTATATATATTGAACTTCAGACTTACATCTTTTTCAGTTGAAGTTTCAATGATGTTGGCGAACTAAAAAGTCATGTTCTGAAAAATAATTAAGCAGCTTTGTGCTTCTCACTGGTTCTCAGTGAGTTTTTCCTGTTTTGAATGGTTCTCTATCTGATTTTTAGTGAGTCTTCCTGGTTGTTCTTGCTTCTCACTTGTTCATTATCTGGTTCTTATTGGCTTATCCTGGTTCTCAGTGTTGAGTTATCACTTTTTCAATGGCTTTTCCCAAACTAAAAAAGTCAGACTTGACTGATAATTAAGCAGCTTTCTGAAATCTAATGGCTCTCACTGGTTTACAGGGGCTCTCTTTGGTTGGTAGTGGTTCTCACCGATTCTCAGCGGGTTTCCCTACTTCCTTTTAGCTCTTACTATTTCCCAGTGAGCTTCACTAATGCTCTTCGGTTCTCAGTGGTTCTTTCCAAACTAAAAAAGTAAATATTTTAAAGATAATTAAGCAGCTTTGTGGTTCTCAGTCACTCTCAGTGGCTCTGTCTGGTTCTCAGTGGCTCTTCTTGGTTATCTGCCGCTCTCACTTGTTTTCCCCAGTTTTCTTTGGATCTACCTGGTTCTGAGTCACTGTTCATGGGTTTCTCATCACCCCATAAACACGAAATTTACTGTATATATGTATTTATACAATATTTCTTACACGACTCATTTTAATTTTCCAATGGCGCAGAAATTAAATTTGCTAAAGCAAATCCAAACATTAGACCTTCAAAAAATAGAAAAAATGAAAGTAGTGAAGTCAAAGTTCAAACAAACATTGTTTAAAAAAAATCAAATCAAAATATACAAATACGCTTCACGTGTTCGAATCACTACAAGGATGATGATAACAAACACTGATTACAGCGCAACGCTCAAAGCGTATGAAAGGGCGACAAGCGCTAAAAGAGCTTTCTGATTTGTTTTCAATACATGTACATACTATATGTACATTTTTTTCTACACTCGATTAAAATTTTGTGCAATTATGCTATTTATGATCGSGCTGAAACTCAACTAAGCGAAACGAAAGCTGTTGGTAAAAGCTCCATCTTCAATATTTTTCAATATTTTGTGGACTTCAAGCTCTGCATAACCTTTCGAGTACCAAGCTCAACCGCTACTCTCTGTGTTAATATAAAACTACAACAAAAATAACTGCAAAATACGTTCAAATATTTCGTTTTTTTCAAAAAAAACAAAAACACTATCGAATATTTGCTCATACGTACGAGTATATATATGTATACTTATTAATATTACTGCTTCGGCTTTGATTTTTATCTGCGCCTCACTTCCTCTGCTCATTCAAGCGTCACACCGTCGCACGTCATCGATCGCTTCATCGTCGGCGCTTGCGCGAAGGCCGCCTCGAGCGTTTCAATCGCCCCTTACACCCCCACAAACGGCCACAAACTTTGAGTGCTCTTACACCTGTTATGCTGATGAGCCGCACAACAACACAGTAGAACAACAACAACTTAGAATCGCCGTCAGTCGTCACAAATTATCCGCGSCTGCAGCGCCAAGGCACTCAGGTGCTACRCGACGACAGTGCTGAGTCAGTAGCGTTAGACAGCTGCCAGCAGGTGTGCCCAGTTAAGCACTTCGATCGCGCTGTATCTCGGCATTCGCGTAAAAATTATAATCGTTAAGTATTTGTACTCTTTATTTTGCTTAAGTCGTGTTGTGTTTTTCAAAATGCAGTTTGTGCGCGTTATCGGCATTATTTGTTGTTTGTTTTTGATTTGCACACCGCTCAGCGTTGATGCCATCAATCGCAGAGGTACACACAAAACTTATAAATATATTATATATATATGTACATTCATATAAATACATATTTACAAAGTTATTTACCAGTGTATTTCCACAGTTTGCTCATYAGTAGTTTTTCGTTTCTTCACCACCGCTCATTTGCATAACAACTTTTTTGTTGTTTTTGCTGAGATTATCTTATTTTTCGATTTATTTATTTTAATTTGATTTTTGTATATTTTCCATAGTAAAAYTTTGCTTGCAACCGCCTCAAAGCGGCCGCTGCTTCGGCTATGTGTCTAGCTTTGCCTACAACCCGGTCGCGCGCAGATGTGAGGAGTTCATCTACGGTGGGTGTGGCGGCAATGACAATCGCTTCGATTCGAAAAAGGAGTGTGAACTTACTTGTCGTGATGTTTAAGCGGCGATTTGCGCGCTGTGATTTTAGCTGGTGAAATTTGGAAATGTTATTGTTAATACTTCTACTTTAGGCCCTTTTCACTCTTTAGTAAGAAAGCGTAAACAAATTATTTATTAAAATACTCAAAAATAAACTAAAAATCGMAATTTTGATTTGAAATACTACTTTTATGATTGTATTTTTTTATAATATACTATAGAAAATTAAGATTTACAGCTGCGTACATCGACTGATCTCCGGTCAACAATAAAAATATGGTACTTCTCTAATAACAATTGTCTGTCGACAGACAATGATCAACATCAGTGCACCTTCTACTAGTCGAAAGACGTAGAAGAAGGCTGGTCTGAAGACATGCAAGGTTTAGAAAGTTCCGGACAAAAACGTCTTTACGAAATCGCAAAACAATGAGCTAAGTAACTGATGTAAGATTTTGTTAAGAAATTGGAATGCTGCATAAAGGATCACCAAACTTACGTTTAGCGCACTTTTCTCAGCTGCCTGGACAAAAATTTTATTTGGTCGTTTCTCGGGATTTCCTCAAAAAATTCAAAACTAAAAATTTTAAGCTAAAAAGATTACAAAACTTTCAAATAAAAGGAGCAGTTCATTACATCCTATACTATCAACACCGAAATATATGTGAAGGAATATTTACAATAGATATTGCTCTCATTTTTAAGCCAACATGAAGTRTACAGATTTTTTTGGTCTGAGCTCGCTCCATGCCACTATAGCACAACAGCTTTAAAGCGGTTTCATACAAGGTACATATTTCAACCGATCGGTTTGTATGACAACTATATTTTATATTGATCCGATATCAATAATTTGGACCACTGCTTGTCAATAACACACCAACAATTGTAATTTGGTCAATAAAAGGTCTGTCATAAAATAAAATGTTCCATTAGGCGGCGTTTTGAAACCTTTTTGGCTGTACTTTCTTCTGGCAATCATCGCACAAAGAAATTAGCGTCTCATATATAAACACTATATACAATAGGTTAAGTTAAGTTAGTCTAGGTCCAAGAGGGGTGGTAATCCTTTATGATGGCTGCTGTCTTCTGCATTGTATCATACCGTGGGGATCAAAGATGCAGGACAAGAGATTCTCCATTGTTTAACTGGTGCCCTGCTCTAGACATTTCCTGTAGTTTTCTCGATCTATCAGACCCATCCCGCATCCGAATGTCGCCACCAGACAGTGATCAGTTAGTATTTCCATCATGTGTCTACAGTCTTTTCTAGCGAATGCCATTATGAAATTTGTTTAATTCCTAACTTTGTTGTTTCGCATCCAGGTAGCTCGTTCCATCGGGTTTTGATTTACTTTGGCATGCTTTTGTCGAGATTGTCGTATAGACAATGCATGGGTTTCCCAATGTAGATTACGTTTTTGGATGTTAGCCGTACACCATTCTTGACAATCTCATCCACAATTTCATTGGCCTGACCCAGTAGACGTGAGGTTTCTTGCTTCTAGCAATATTTTTCACTTCTGTCCTGCTTCACAAGCCACTTCTAGCCGAAATGCGATAGGAGGTTACAGCCCCGATTGCTGCTTGGCTGTCTACGTAGATGTTGACTCTGGAATTGCCTGCAGGTGAATCAGAAGTCAGTAGCAAAGATCTCCGCTCGAAATATACTGCAGTGGTCCAGCAATTTAAAAGGTTGCCTTCTGCTTAACTCAGAACAGTATGTTCCCGCAACCAACTCTATCGTCCATTTTCGAACCATCCAATAGATGTTTAGAGTGTTGCTTCTTCGCCTTAAAAATCGTTGGAACTAATTTTGGGCCTAAATGCTCTTAGCCAAAGTTGTTCAGAGTGATCCGTAAAATATTTCACGAATATGCGATTTAAATATATATATATATATATATATGTATATAAAGCC